GATCTGCTTAACCGACAGGGAATTCTGAACTGAACCCTTTATTCAATCTACGGAGATAAAGAAACGAGAATAGTCTACTCTCGCAGATGAAATAAAGGGTTCAGTTCAGGATTCTCTGTAGTTTACGCCTAATGAAGGCCGGAGAGCAGAACAGATAAAATATTGTGATATATATATATATATATATATATATATATATATATCTTATCCAAGCATAGCTTAGATGTGGCACAAGTCCGAAATTATGGGGCACCCAGTGAGGATCGAACTCACTATTAAGTCGTAATTGTTCTAGTGAGACAAGCTTGCTAACCATTACACCATCTCGAGGTGACCAAGTGATTTTCTAAGCGCGGCTTAGACGTGACACAAGGCCGAAAGTATGGTGAACTCAGTGAGGATCAAACTCACTACTCAGTTGTAACTGATCTAGCAAGACTTTCTAACCATTACAACACGTCGAGGTGCCCACATCGTGATATATATATATATATATAGTAAATAATATAAAGATAGTGTAAATAATAGTTTAATATATACGAAAAACCGAGACCTCCACAGTTATTTCCCCTGCCAATTCCAGTGTCACTCAAAACTGAATGAAAATGGGTTTGCAAAGACAATGCCGATGGCGGAAGTAGGCTTGCTTTGTGTGCTTTCTTATTTTGATCAGTGCCAAGGCAATCTAGACAGATATTTAATATTATTCCTGCCACAGTAAAGAACCTATTTTAATTGTACTTCTTACCAATTGCAATAAGATTCTATTCTACCAAGTTTTTCCTTAAGTTCATGTTTTCTGCAGGTATTATCTTCAACCATTATTCCCCGATGTGTCATTATCCCGAATTGGTTTCTCTCAGTTACATTTCTGATTTTCTACATTTTCAAATCGGGGTTGAAACCTTTGAAAACAACCCTGAACTTTATCTTCGATCATCCTTCTAAAAAAAAAAAAAAAGGCAGTTGTTGTTTCATAAAAATATAGCAGCCCTTCCATCGAGTTTGAAATACAAGAGAAAAATTTTTTCTTATTTGGGAGATCATGTATCTTTTCGATACATGACTGACGAGGTAGTTTTTTCGTCGTACTACGTTGCCATTTTCTTCTGCGGTAGACTGGTTACCAACCAAGGCTAAAGAACTCAGTCTTTTCCTGCTATTCAATAGCTGGGGGCGGGAAAAGATGGATTTATACCTTTCCCAAGGGTATTTGTGCGTAAGTGGATCTAACGAACTCGACTGGAATTCGAACTCTGAGCCGATATGTATTACACCACAACGCATATCTGAACCTGTATTAAAAAAGGTTTAGAAATCGCGCAGATATTCCTGTATTTAAACAATAGATGTCACGTATATTTTCTTTGCTTATGTGCCAAGTCCTTTTAGGCGATGGCTTTACACAACTTCCTGTCTTTTATTCATATAAGTAATATTTTGACCGTGACTATTACTTTTTATCCCTTTTCTGCGAGCCATTCGGACAATCTCATTAAGTAGGTTACTCAATCTTTTACCGGGCTTCTTGTAGATTTATCTCCCTATTAGTATTAAATTCTTCAAGCCCTATTTACTTACACAATATTCGGACTATTATCCTCATCTTTGTCGCCATATTTATTACAACGTTTAAGGCCGTTGTACGCTCCGGCATTCTTCAGGTGATTGGAATGTCGAACTGAACCCTTTATTTCGCTCACTAGGGTAGACTGTTCTAGTTCCACATGCCATGTGTTAATGGGTGTCAGTTAACAGTTATTTCCTGTTAATTCCCCTCTCCAAGTTCTCCACTGCCTTAACCGGGTATTGAACTCATACTCTTTGGGTCCTGTCATTGGATCTAACCAACGCCTTTATCCACTGTGCTATGTGTCCTTGAGGACAATAGTTCGAGTAATGTAAATAGTGTACATCATACCTCATCTCAGAAATATAGACAGATACCGTCTTTTCTTATTATGCTTTCTAAAAATTTAATCATTTTTTGAATGCAAGTATCAGTTTTCTTTTTGTTTCTTTTTCTGAAGGTTTTTTTTGAGGAATGTTCTGTACATGTTATTCGTAGAATCATACGTATCATACGTAGAATTGTATCTCTGTCCTGCTTGCCATATATTGATTTTCCAAGCGTAGCTTAGATGTGTCACAAGATCGGGACATCCAGTGAGGATCGAACTCACTTCTCAGTCATAATTGTTTTAGCGAGACAAGTTTGCTTGCCATTTAGATGACTAAATATTACATAGTATTTCATCAATTTTATTTCTCTAACATAATTTCCTATCTCTTAATATACTTTGCTTATCTTCTGGGGCTTATCTTTCGCTTTTCCCTTTCGACTTCGGATTTCTGTGCCATATTATAGGTCGTCTCTTACTACCCAATCCAGAAAATCAAGTCTCTGTACTCGCTTAATTTTGATGTCCCCAATACGAAGTTTATACTACTCTAACCATTTCAGCTGTAAAATGATGAGACCTTGCCGCCAATCTAGTACTGCGCTTAAATTCATAATGTCAATATACCCGCCGGCGATCCGACAGCGGGTCACCTGCGGTAAACGCTAGTGGCATACCACCCAGTGGCAGATTGGTGGCTTGCGTGTAGGGATACAAAGCCACAACCACAACAGGAACAGTTTTTAATTTTTAATGGTCACATTTTTTTTCTGTTTTTATCTCCAAAGTCTTTGTATTTGGTTATTTTTTTTTTTAAGAAAACCTGGTGTGCAAACTTTTTTGGGGGGGAGGGGGCGTTGCTTGTATAGCTTGATCTGTGTTGGTTATTGATTATTATATATTGAAAGTATTTTCGCTTTACACAAACTTCCAATTCTTATACAATGCGCACATTTAAAGAATATTTATAATATAGTTAAATTCCCAGATGAATTCTGTGGACAAGACAGATTGGTATCAAATGACAATTTATGAAAAAAAAAAAAAAATGACGATATATAAAAAAAAAAAATGATAATAATAATAATCCCTTACTATAAAAGTAATTTACATTAACCAGAAAAAAAGGCTTAGACAGAAGCGTCTATCTTTTTAAATTTGGATTTTTAATGTAACTATAACAAGAAAAACATTTCGATTTCATTTTTGCCTTGAAAAAGATGGAAGACGAAACGCGTCCGCAAAATGTAAGATTTTTTCCAATTGTCATTTGATACCAACATTTATAATCTCACTATATTATTATTATTGTTAGGTTGTATGTTTATTTTATTATTAGGAAGCATCAACAATATTTTGACCACAGACTTTTACTTAGAGACGAATTTCATGTATACAGATAAAGAATATTTATTATTATTATTATTATTATTATTATTATTATTATTATTATTATCTTGGATTTCTGTTATATACTCATTTCCTTCCGGGTCCCAACCAGAAACCTAAGTTTAGAAATGGCTTCATGGCATTTTCCACTGATCATTTTTGTATCCCCATCCCGAAAAAAAAGGAAACTTAAGATCACACATATTTTCATAGATAAAGTTCTTTGTAATGTGTGAGCTGTACTTGTGAGTAAAATTTTTTGTATTTCTTTAAGGCTATCAGGAATCCATTTAATGAGTCTATCGGAACCGTTTCCAATCGATCCGAGGGCACCAACTACAACTGGAATTACTGATGTCCTCACGTGCCATTTTTTCTTTATATTTCCACTTCAAGATCCTTATATTTTGATAGTTTTTTTTTAAAGATCTTCAAAGATACATTAAAGTTTGCAGGAATTACCATGTCAATAAGAAAGGGCATTTTGTTCTTGTGGTCTTTGATTACGATATCTGGGCGTTTGGTTTTGATCGTTCTGTTTGCGTGTATTATAAAGTCCCATAAAAGTCCCCATTACAGGTCCTATCTCTGTAACCAGGTCTGGGGGGGGGATGGAATTGTTCATATCAGTTTCTTGCAGTTTCCTTCGCTTAAAGATTGCAGATTTCCCAGTGCAGATATTGGCTCACTCTACCCACCGAGTTTTATATTCAATGGGTGTTAACATCATGCAACCTGATACAAGATGATATTAGTATTATTTTCTTTGATTTCTGGCGTTTACACATTTCTTTCCGAGTCCCGCCCAGGGACCTAAGGTTAGAAATGGCATCATGACACTTTCCACTGACAAAAAAAAAAAAAAAAATACATAGATAAAGCCCTTCGTAGAGTGTGGGCTGTACTTGTCAGAACAATTTTTTGTATCTCCTTGAGGCATGGACTTCCAGAAATCCCTTCAATTAGTATACTGCAATCTTTTCCAACCAGTCCTAGGGCTCCAACTACAACAGGGATTGTTGATGTTCCCATATGCCACACTTTCAAGATTTCTATTTCAAGGTCCTTGTATTTTGACAGCTTTTTGAATATATTATTATTATTATTATTATTATTATTATTATTATTCTGAGAATTCTTTTGCTTTAGATATTTCTAATATCGGATACAAATATCTTGCATTATAAATATCCGATATTCTGGCAAATTTTGAGTTTTTATTTATAACTGGGCCTTTAAACCGTTGAAGAGTGCAATGAAATGAAGCACTATTCGCCCGTATAGTCGAACACTCGTTTAAGAGTTTAAAAGTTTTGTGAATTGATCCTTGAAATAAAATTCCAAAGTGGATAATCGTCCGTTGCCGGTTATAAAGTAGAGTAAAGTGGAACTCAGATGCCATTGTTGGGAAAATCCTCAAAAGATCTAGTATCATTGAAAGCTAAGTAACACACACACACACACACACTCTCTCTCTCTCTCTCACACACACACACACACATACGAATGCTTTTAATAAGTTCCACAATAATTAAAAAAAAAACGGAAATATTTTCGATAAATCTTAATATAAAATTTTGATGCAAAGTGAACATAGAGATTGCAGAGATTTCGCTTGTTGGTTTCCTTTTTCACTTTACGAAAGATTTGGAAAGTCATTAAAAAGATTTTTTTAAAAAAAGAACTATATCCGTTTTTTTTTGTTTTTTTTTAAACTTGATTATTATTGCTGTAGGAATCTAGCTTTTGGCGCAACGGAATACCAGCCTCTTTCTCGGGTCGGAGGCACAGACAAGAACAGTAAACCTCGATAAACGTGTGCCGAAACTTTTGACTCATACTGCAGTAGAGTACAAAATTGATAGCGTTATTAACAAGGGCTAAAATATCCATAAGATCACCAAGCGGTACGTAGATGTGGTCGAATATATTCGGGGTGGTGATGCTAAGGACGATGAGAATGCCTTGCGGCAGTTCCGTGGCCAGAAAAAGCACGATGACAGTAAGAAGCATCTTCGTTGTTCGTGAGTGTTCCGAGAGGCGGGTACGGTTCGTACATGAGATCTGCATCATATGTTTTCGCTTGCGGGTCTTCTCACGGATCTTGTAGATGAGGAGACTGCCAAAGATGAACATCAGCACGCATGGCAATAGCTTCCCGGTAATGGCATAGAGCCAATACTGGACCAAAACTGTCGTCCAGAAATCGGAGTTGCCGATGTTTGTGTCCCTGATGATGTACACGCTGGACGTGCTCGTATTCTTCTCGATTATCTCCTTGGTGATGAAGTTGGGCGTCATCATAATGGCCGAGCCGATGTAAACGCAAGCGATGAAAGCGCGGGAAAATTTCAGCCGTCGAACGCGGATAAGTTCCCCTCGCGCCGGTGAGCGAAGGTGAGCGTACCGGAGGATAGACAAAAGCACGCACAGCCAAATCGAGATGGTGTGCGTCGTGTTGACCAGATTGAAGTGGAAAAACATGAACACAGTCCACGGCCAGTCGTTCTTTTCCGGCGTGATGTAAGTCGGGTTATTGAGGACGTAGAAGTGCATCGCAAACGGGACATACGACAGCATGGTGATCATGTCGGACACGGCTAACCAGGTTAGAATGTTGTTCACCGGGGTGCTCATGTTCTTGCGCGACAACACCGTGATATTGAATATATTGGTCACAATGCCGAACACGCAGACGCACGTGCTCAGGTAGCCGTGGATATGGGCGTACCATCTCCCGAATAATGTCAGTGAGTTATAGGCAGACATATCTGGTTGAGGAGGGGCTAGGGTCATTGAGAGGACTGGCGTCGGCAGCGGCGGTGGCGTCGACGTCATGTTGGACGAAATCAGTGTCGGCAGCAGTTGCTCAGCTGGTAAAAAGGTCTTTTTTGTGCGTTTCTTTTTTTTTTTTTTTAACTTTGATGAACACCCTACGACAAAAAATCTGTTATTTGATGTCGGCAGGATCTTGGATATTGAGTAATTTGTATCCGCCGAATGTTGGTTCAAAGGACGTTTATGTTCTCAGAATAAAAAAAAAATTGAAAATTAATCTTCAGAATAAAAGAATAAAAGAATAGTAATTAAAAGTCGTTTAGATAAAAAAGTTAATAGTTCACCGGGTCATTAACGTTTTTGCTCTTCTGTAAGGTTTATTTAATTTTTTACTGTTATGTAGTTGGATCTAAAATAAATTTTTGAAAAAAAAATCCATCAAAAAGCGAATGATTTAAAAATGTTTGAATTGATATCTTCATACTTTTCCAGAATTTCTTTTTCGTGAACCATTTAAAATGGTGATCCGGAACTGTCCAATAATGTAGCTGGTTCAAAACAGTGCGGTATGTATTGTCTGAAAGAACAAAAAAAAAATAGAATTATTAATATGGATATACGTATAAATAGACAACGGGACCAAAGTCCGTGGCCATCAAATTCCGTCTAATTAATTAAACCAAAGTGACACAAAAAGTAATAAAACAAGAACCCCAAAACAATATAAAAAAAAAAAGCACGGTGAAATCATTATACATACATGCATATATATATATATATATATATATATATATATATATATATATATATATATATATATACACACTTTTGATTGATGTGAGTTTGTTACACTAGCTTTCACGCCCTTGCCCTTGCAATCGTCAGACAAAGAGTTTGTTTGGCGATCGAAGGGCATAAAGCCGAGTGTGACAAACTCACATCAATGCAACTCTGTTAGCAATATCACTGACAGTGAGCACTTTCCAATAACTACAACGCATATAATATATAAATAATATATAGAGAAATTGTCTTGTCTTGTCTTGTAACGGCATTCACCCGGAGTTGGTTGAGCCGGCTCCAATTGAATTAATCACATCGCGCGTCAAGGCCATCCACCCCCGTCGATCGGCAGCAGAATCGACGACAGGTATTTCGCAGATTTAGTATGTTCATTGGAGTTTCATGGGAATTTGGAATTCACAAGCGGTTCCCAAACCCGCATGTATAGGCTTTGAGGCTCAGTTTTAAGGCGCCGAACATTCGCCTTTCACACCTCACATGTAGTTTGAGCTAGGAGTTTGACTGGCAGAGGTGATCTTGTTGCACACGCCTATTGGACTATTTTGTAGGCCAGCAGGAGCATTTCCCCGCTGTCCAGCCCAGGCATACCAGACCTTTTGATGACCAGAGCCTCGTTAGCCGTGCCGTGTCAGACCAAACCGCCATGGGTGACCAGAGCCCCGTTAGCCGTGCCGTGTCAGACCAATCTGCCATGGGTGATATAGAAATTACATATACACACACATATATACATATTATATATACATATATATATATATATATATATATATATATATATATATATATATATATATATATATATATATTTGATAAAGTCACTCAGCGGACAAATCACGTCTTTCCTCTTGTCTTTTTATTCATTTTTCTTCCTTTACAGATACACTCTAACTGAAAATAAATTGCACACACACACATATATATATATGCCAGATTTCGATTTCAATGTCCTTGTATTTTGAAGATCTTCAAAGATACATTGCAATTATTATTGTCATTATTATTATTATTACTATTACTATTATTATTTCGTGCATTTGCATGTTCACATCACATATAGGCTGGATACCTCGTTTTTGTCAGAGTCGACTATCTTTCCTTAATAATATTATGAGCTGGTTACATAACTTTTGTCAGATTCGGCAATATTTCCATTAATATTAAAAGTTGAATAACTCGATTTTCTCCGGGTAGGCAATCTTTTCTTTAATTCAAATGCTGGCTACCTTATTTTTGCCAAGGTACACTATTTTTACGTTAATATTAAAGGTTGGATACATAGTTTTTGTAGATTAGGCTATTTTGTGCTTTAAAATTAGTGGCCATTTATCACATTTTTGTCAGGATAGGCTATGTCTTGCGTTAATATTAAAGGTTGGATACCTCATTATTGTCAGGATCGGATATTTCTTCATTAATATTAAAGGGTATTTACTTACTTTTTTTTCAAGGTAGACTATTTTTTGCGTTAATATTAAATGGCCGGATACCTCATTTCGTACGCAGTTTAGTTAATATTAAAGGACGTTTACCTCGCTTTTGTGAAGATTATTTGTGAAGGGTATTTTTTCGTTACAATTAAATGGCCAGATACCTTTTTTTTTTCAAGATAGGCTATTTCTTTTGTCAATATTAAAAGGTACAATGTTTTCGATAATATTAAAGGCTGGATACTTCGTTTTTGTTATCCATATATCCAGTTATCCTGTGCTGTTAAGTCAAGTCCTACAAGCAGTTGATCACGATTCCGTATGGTTGAGGGCACGTAGTTATTGATTTTATGCTTAAAAATATGACATCGGCACCTCTTTCGAGTAACAGATTCCAACCGAATGATTTTAGAGCTCTTATTTCCGGAGTTATTTTTTTTTACAAGACGTTCAATAATCGCCATTGAGGAACCAAAAATGACCTGGGTTGGTAAATCATTTCTTTCTCACAGCATGTACTATTATTATTTTATTCATTTGGCATGACTTTCACCCAAGACCCAAATGCCACAAATAGCGTGTTCGTGAAGTATCTCTTCCACATCTCTCACTATTAGATAACTCTGTTTTACACGACAGAGCCATCATTCTGAACAAGTGTTCATATGCTATCGAGTTTTTTTTTAGCATTGGTTAACATTATTTGTCGTTGCAGAAACAAACTAAGAATGTCATATCGATATATTATTATTGTCGTCAATTGTTATATCGTCAAACTTACAGAAAATAAATTTAAGTTTAAGTTTAATTTAAGTTAGGCTATAAAGAAAGAAACAAAAAAAACAAAGAGTGGGAAAGAAAGAAAGAAAGAAAGAAAGAAAGAAAGAAAGAAAAAAGAAAGAAAGAAATTATGTCGAGACATTAAAGAACGAAAAAAAGAAAGAATGGGAAAACAAGAAAGAAAGAAAGAAAGAAAGAAAGAAATTATGTCTAGATATTAAAGAAAGAAAGAAAGAAAGAATGGGAAAACAAGAAAGAAAGAAAGAAATTATGTCTAGATATTAAAGAACGAAAGAAAGAAAGAATGGGAAAACAAGAAAGAAAGAAAGAAAGAAAGAAAGAAAGAAAGAAAGAGTGAGAAGTATTAAGAAAAAAAAAGTCAAATGTATGAGACATATGATAGCAGAAGACACTAAGTCGACAGAAATTTCCGTGATTGAACAAAGGTCATCGAGTCCAGTCATGTGTAACAATCGCACAATCAAACAAGTAGAGTTATGTTATGTCATCATTATTATGTGTGAGAGTGTAATTTTAAGTGCCTAATTGTCATGTCCCCTTTTGGATCAATGAGTAAAAGGGGCACCGTCGGAGAGTTTATCTATTGTTGCGTAGCAGCACAGACCAGACACCAGGTTCTTTGACAGGGTGCAGTTTATTAACAGGTAGCAGTTTCTTGCAGGCAAAGGCCTGTAACCCAAAAATTAACCTTCGGCCAAATCATTACCCACGGGTGAAAAAAAAAAAATTTAGTAGTAAACTGAATTTTATTCTTAAGTAGTACTTTTCTACTATAAGCGAGCGAAGGAGAGTTAAGGCTTAAGTGGTGGAGGAGGAGGTACGGCGTCTCTTCTTTTGCGTGGTTCGCGTCGTTCCTTCTGTCCTCCTTTGCGCGGAATGGTCATTTTATGGTCAACACTTTTCTTCGTCCTGTCATCTTAGTCAAAAAAAAAAAAAAAAAAAAATTAATCTCACTTCCGTCACTTTCTCCGTCCTGGGTATGACAATAAACTGCATCCGCGTACAGAGCTTACTCGATAAACTACGTCCAACAGCAAGGTCTCTGATCCGGAGGTTTTGACGAGCGTGGAACCACCTCTTAATTGCTAGTGTTCCCAAGTCCACCCTGACCCGAGGTGGTAGTATCTGTTAGGGTCCCACCTATGGGCAAATAGTTAACCCCGAAACGGAGGTAAAAAGCATTTTGAAAGTGTAAAAATAGGTTTTAATACCAGAAATACTTTGTAAAAATATTATTAGCAGAAATAAATTTTTGAAGAAAAAACTATGACCAGCAATACGTTTTTGAAAAAAAAAAATATTACCAGCAATACATTTTTTAAAATAATATTACCAGTTATACATTTTTGAGGAAAAAAAATATTACCAGAAATAGATTTTTGCCAAAACAAAATATTATCAGGAAAAAAAGATGTCGGCATTAAAAAACCCATTGAGGTTGATATGCCGTAAAACAAACCAAACCAAACCATCACTTTCTCTCAGTATTGCTCCTGTACTTGGAGGTTGACTCCAATTACTGATAGCCGTCGGTCGAAAGTAAATCTTCTGCATCTAGTTGTCTTAAATTTAATTTATATTGCTACACTATACACATTTGGGACGTTTTGTTTAGATGCGGAGGGTTTTGTGGATGATATGTGCAGTTCCGTACAAAGTAACCATTTTTTTTTAGCTCTGAGACGCTGATGTGTCCAGGAATTTTACTCGCATAATTGTCAGTACCCTTGTTCATCATAACCAATGCCTCTATCCTAACAGGAATAATTGTAGTTTTAAATTTTCACATTTTTCTTAGATTTTCAGGCCCTTATAATTTGACATTTTTTAATATTTTTTATTCGAAACATTGGAATTATGTGGGAAAGTCATATCAATTATTTGGCAAGTTCCTTTTTTTTTTTTTTTTTTAAATCTTTTACGACTATTTGCATCAATTTTCCTACACTATTTATATTATTCGGACTATTGTCCTCATCTTTGTCTCATTATTTATTACAACGTTTCGGCCTTTCAGTATCTGTCTAT